GATCATGCTCAGTGAAATAAGCCAGAAAGAAAAAGAAAAATACCGGATGGTCTCACTCATAGCAGGAATTTAGAAAACCAAAATAAAGGATCAGGGAAAAGACTAATTATAATAAGCAGAGTCCTTATTCTTAAGACATGCACGTTGATCTATTTAGAGGCAGAGGCGATGATGGAAGCAAATTACACAGAAATTATACTACATTGTATAACAGAGGCTGGCAAACTCTGTAAAAGGGCCAAGTATTTTTGACTCTGTGGGTTATGTAATTCTGTTATGTCAAAAACAGTTATAGAAAGCATATAAGCAAGTGGATTAAGCTATTTCAATAAAATTGTATTTACAAAAATAGGTGGAATTGGCCTATGGACCATAAGCTGATAATTTACCTATGTCATTATATTATGCTATGCTGTGTTGTGTTATAATATATTGTGGGGTAGATGCAAGTGGGAAAATGCTGAAAATAGCTAAATCTTGGTAAAGAAGGTGTTTTTTGTACTCCCCTTGCCAATTTTCTATATAGAGGTGAAATTCTGTATAGAAATATAGTCCAAATATACTATAGTCCAAAATAGTAAGTGTCATAATAAAGGTTGTCCAAGAATGCATCAAATTCAGCCTCTGAAGAAATCTGGGAAAGCTTTCTAAAAGAGGTGACTCGAGCTGAATCTTAAAGTGAGTAGTGGTTAGCAAAGAGTATTAGTCAGGAACTAGCTTGAAGCTGGAAACCAAACCAGTCACATTAATGGAGAGGGCAGAGGCAGACAGTCAAGCCAAAGACAATGATTTCTCATGCTACCAGTTTACGGAGTACCCAATATTGGCCCAGAAGTTCTCACACCTGCAACTAGCCCTCATGCTACCCCTGGCATGGAAATTATAATCCTCATTCCTGGTTAATGTGGTAGGCTGCATTCTGAGTTGGCCTCAGGATTTCCCTTGTCTTCAAACCCTATGTAATGCCTGGGACACAGGATGGAATGGATTTTGCTCCTGCAATTGGCTTATGTTCTATATCACTATTGATCTTTAAATAGGGAGGTTAGAAGGTAGGCCTCATCTAATAAGCCAGGCTTTTATTTTATTTATTTTTTTCAAGATTTATTTATTTATGCATACGAGAACTGGAGTGTAAGTCAGAGGTGTGGGGGGTGAGAGGATTCACCAGAGACAGAGTGGAGAGCAGAACAGGCAGATCTGAAATACACTGCTGAGGGGAGCAGCGGGTGAGACGAGAGGTCTGCTGTGCCATGTGGGTTAGCTCTCTGGCCAGGGATGGAACTCGTGCTGTAGTTACTGGCGATAGCTTGATAGCACTGTGTCTTTAACCCCCGCGCCACCAGGGAGAACCTACACCAGGCTTTTAAAATGAAAGTTTTCTCTGCCTCCTCACAGAAGGGAAGTCAGAAATTCAAAACATGAGAAGGATCTGGTGCACAGCGGCTAGCTGAAGATGGAGGGGGTGTAAGGTCTGGGGATGGCCTGTAGGAGCAAAGAGTGGCCTCCAAATGACAGCCAGTAAGGATGAAGATTCCACTCCTACAACGTTGGGGCACTGATTTCTGCCAACAAGAATAGGCTTGGAAGAGAATTTTCCCTCAGAACATCCCAGTGAGGACTAAATCCTCTCATACCTGTAGTATTCAGAGCCCCGTTATACAGGCTTTCTGACCTACAGAACAAAAAGTATAATGGGTTGCTGTTTGAAGTTGCTAGGCCTGTGGTAATTTGTTACGTTGCAGTAGAAAACTAACACAGCTTAGGATCCAGGGGTCCAAAAGAATTTAGCCTGACTTCCAAATCCAGTAGCTTGAAACAATAATTGAAATAAATCTTTATAGGCATTTGTGGATGTCCTATATCTTGAAACATCTTTTTAGGCATTTGTGGGTGTCCTATATTTGTTCACTTAATCACCACTTAACTGCCTTATTTTATATCTTTCCTAGTTTACAGAGGTTGAAGTCTGAATGGATATTTTAAGCACTGATTTCTATTTTTCTTTCTAAGTGTAATAAAAGCAGTAGTCATAATTTCACTCTACATTTTCTTCAGAGTTATCTCAAAATTGCATTAAAAATTGCATATATTTTCATGTGGAATGTCTACTTGGCTCCCTCTGGTGTCAGCTAAGATTATATTTGGCTTTGGGGAAACTCATGTGTAACCAACCATCTTTGAAGTTAATAAGGAATGTGTACTTCATCAAGAGGCAGTTTAGAAAATTTACTGACTATATTGTGAAATTATTTTATTCAGATTTTGCAAATATTCTTTTAAGGGTCTAACATAACTGAAGTTTTATAATGTTAGAAAACAATAGGTGGGGATTAGTTGTTTAAGTAATTTTTAATGGGCCCCCAAATATGACAAATTGTTAAAAGTAAACATTTGTGTAAGTGTATATACATTATATACACTTTTAATTTTTTTTTATCAGAAAATGGTCAGGAGACTGACTGTTGTTAAAATAACAATGTGGTAGCGCTTTACCCTACAGACTAAACATATCTTTGTTTGTATAATACTCAATACAGTGAGTATAAAATATGTATTCTGGGACTCCCTGGTGGTGCAGCTTTTGAGCGCAGTGCTGTGAAGCTGTCCATAGCCTCCTCAGCGTGGGTTTGATTTCCTGCCGGCCAGGGAGATTCCTACATGGCGCAGTAGACCTCTCCTGTCTTGCCCGCTGCTCCCCTCAGCAGTGCTGTCTGCCTGTTCTGCTCCCCACTCCATCTCTGGTGAATCCTGTCACCCTCCTGCGCCTCTGGCCTGTACCCCAGCTATTGTATAAATAAAAAATAAATCTTTAAAAAAAAACATGTATTCTCATGCTTTGCTGATGGCTTTCTGTTGTAAACACCTGTAAGAGTAATTTAATAGTATCAGAAAAAGCCATAAAATCTTGCATACTCTTTACCCAATCATCCTTTATCTAGGACTAGGTTAAGCAATACTTAAGAAAAAGCTCTTTGCACACACAGGTTCATTATGGCATTGATTGTAATAATGAATATTGAAAGCAGCCTAGGTAGTCAACAAAAGGAGATACTCTATTTAATTCAATCAGGGTACTCTAGAGTCAAAATGTTGGAGTTGAAATACAAGCATCACTATTAGTTTCATGGTCTCAAACAGGTTTAATCTCATCTGCAAAATGGCTATAGTAATGGTTGGCTACTTATATAAGGTTATTTTAAGAATTAAACTATTACGTACATGAGGAATTTAGAACAGGGTGTAGTGCATAGTAAGTGCTCAATAAATGTCTTTTGATAGGCACTTGTAGCTACTAAAAATATAAATTATAAAAATCAGTAAAATTCAGATTACATGATGTTGTAAAAAATAATGAAATTGAAATAGAAAATATTCTGTATGCATAAAGGATAAATGAAAACATACAAAAATAAAAATAAATCTGTCAAAATGTTGACATTATGGATGCCTTTGTCCCCTTCCATTTTCTATATTGCTATCATCTTGTCATTAAAATGCTAAAAAAATAAGCAGTTGAAACCCAGGATAAAAAATTATACAGTGTATACATATATGTATTCCTCCAATCATTAATTGTTATCTTCAGTATTTTACATGCTGTGATAGGCTAAAAAATCACAGCATTATATGAAACATTATAGTTTATGTGAATGAGAATGAAAAATTTATTTAGCACTGTATCACCAATAAAGAAATATGTGCAAAGGAAATACTGTAGAAGGAGGCAAAACAACATATACTTACTGATGTTTGCTTCAGCAACACTTATAATAGTGGAATGTTGACTAGAACAGTATCTGGTACTTTTTTTAAAAGATTTATTTATTTATATATACAAGAGCTGGGGTGCAGACCAGAGGTGTGGGGGTGAGAGGATTCACCAGAGACAGAGTAAGGAGCAGAACAGGCAAATGTACTGAAATACACTGCTGAGGGGAGCAGCAGGTGAGACAGGAGAGGTCTACTGCGCTGTGTGGGTCACCTCCCTGGCTGGGGTTCGAACTCATACTGCAGTGGCTGCGGATAGCTCCATAGTGCTGCATTTTAACCCCTTGAGCCAGCAGGGAGGCCCCCTATCTGGTACTTTTTATGCTCAAAATTGGTGGAATGGATCATAAACCCAAGTCTGGGCTTTAGGAAAAAAATGCTCACAAGTGTCTGTCTCTTGAACATATAGATGGCAATCAAAGTTCAATATGATTGGATATGATCACTCAGGGGAATTACATACAGTAAAAGCAGCTTTAAAAGGTATACAGAGAGAAACTGCTGTCAAAGAATGAAAGCCCTTGGGCCAAAAATATCAGAAAAACTGAGAAAAATGGTGTCATGGACAAGACAATTTTTAGTTAGAACCTAGTCAAAAAGGCCATGCAGTATCAGGAATATGAGAGCCTGCTGACTGGCAGCTGGTGATTTTAGTGAGACCAATTTAGTAGAACCATTGAAATGAACGGCAAAAATGCAAGGTTAAAAAGTTAATTAGGGGTCATCCCTGGTGGCGCAGTGGTTGAACGCTGGGCTGAGAAGCTGCCCACAGCCTCTGTAGCTCTGGTTCGATCCCCGTCCGCTGGCGAGGGTCCCACATGGTGCGCAGACCTCTCCTGCCGCGTCCGCTGCTCCCCTCAGCAGTGTATTTCGGTCCATCTCTGTGTTCTGTTCCCCGCTCTGGCTCTGGTGAATTCTCTCACCCTCCCATGCTTCTGACTGTACCCAGTGCTTGTATAAATAAATAAATAAATAAATAAATAAATCTTTTTTAAAAAAAAAGTTAATTAGGATGAGGAAATAACTCAGGAAATAACTGCAAATAACTGGAGGAAATAACTCCTATAAGTTGTGCCTGTATCTTCACTCAACTTATAAATGTGAACATTCATTGTAATGAACTTAATTCGTTTCAAAGATTATTTTTGTGTTTCCCATTATATCCACTCCATTTTCCTTCCCTCATGACTTACCAAACAGTGCCAGACACTGTGCAAAACAGACACCCTTTTCTCCCCCAACTTTATGTCCCCCTAATTTGCAGAATGAAATACATTTGAACAAAAATGGCTTGCTTATATTTGAAGCAGAATTTTACAGCTTTGTAAAGAGCATTGTTTTTAAACCAACACAAACAAACACAATTGTCACAAAATACTGTTTTCATTAGTGTCATGGCTCATGTAACACATACTGAACATCCCTATGAATGAGTTATGATAGCGGATTATTGTCTAAAAAAACACACCCCTGAAATGTGGAGAAGCAGGGACTTATATGGGGGAGCATTATGGAGTGAAGCTAAAAGGTTTGCAGCAGGAGGATTTCAGAGAAATAAGCAGAAGTTTTTCTTCTAAATTTGGCCTTGACTGCATCTGTCCTGGCACTGGTGGGCATACTTTTTACTATGGTAATGAGGCTGTAGCATAATCCTTGTGTTACTTCTAGTTTCACTTGGTCTCAACTGGTTTTCTGGTTTTGTCTGCAAAAAAGCAACAGGAAGAGAGCAAGGATGAACAGGGAAAGGATGAGGAACTTAGGATTACTAGACTGGTGACAATATTATACAATAAAGTTAACCATTTATTTGCCTCTTGCTTTTATTACATTCTGCAATTGAGCTCACCCAGTTCCTCACATAGTTTATAAATAAATCCCAAGGTTCTGCAACTTGTCATCCTCTTTTATTCAAGGTAATGAAAGGTTATGTCTTCTATCACTTTCTCAAAGTTTTCTGTTCTGGCACATAAAGTCTCCAAGAAGTCACCATCGAAACAAGAAGAAAGGCAGGAAGCCACAGGAATGTCACAGACAGTGCTATTACACTTAAGGTCCACAAGACAGATCTTGAAGCAGGTTCACCATAACTGTATCTATGGAAGTAGTGACCTTTGAATACATTACTGCTGAGTCCACTGGCCTGGCTCACTACATTAGGCATTTGACTGTCATCTACAGGGAATTTTAAAGGGCTATTGCCTGCTGATGCCCAGGAGCCTGGTCAGGTGCCTTACGCACAGGGCAGTGTTCAGTAAGTACGCCATCTACAAGTCAGCTCTTCTGGGACGACGATAACATTCAGAGGCTCTTTTCAAAGCCACTTGTACTTTCAGATTACAGAATTTCTTCATCTGCTTTTGGATTTAGGACTCTTGTCTGACTTTTAAAAAAAAATGAGTTCGTTTTGTTTTTCTTTATTCAATAAACCTTCTAACTTGGAATAATTTTAGATTTACAGAAAAGTTGTGAAGACAGTACAGAGAATTCCATACTACTCACCTAGCTTCCCTTACTGACATTACTGTGAACTGAATTTAAACTTCAGTTTGATTAGATGTGACCTAATTTTCTTTTATGTTTGCGATCCAATCCAAAATATATGACATATATAAACAGATAAGTAGATAATATCCTTAGTCACCTTTAGGCTGTGACAGTTTCTCAGAATTTCCAGTTTTGGTGACCTTGACAATTTTGAGGAGTTACATACCAGATATTTTGTTGAATGTTTCTCAGTTTGGATCTCTGATGTTTTTCTATAGTTAGATAGGGATTGTGAGTTTTTGAAAGACTAATGAGGCAAATAACTTTCTCAAGATATTAAGGGTAAATGCTATCAGCATGTTTATCTCTGATGTTAACCTTGGTCATCTGGCTGAGGTAGTGTTTGTCAGGTTTCTTTTCTGGAAAGTCACTTCCTTTCTTTCCATACTCTATGCTGTGGCAAGTATGGGTGCGTATTTTGCAGGGGAGGGTGGGGGGGGGTGGAGGGTGGCATAAGGCTACGCCTGCTTTTTTTGGTTAGCAGTTAAAAAATTATTTGAAATTCTTTAGATTTTTCACATATCTTCATTTATTCAACTATTTGTGTTCTAAATACTTGATTGAAGGTATCTGTACATTAGCCTTTTGAGTTTTAAAAAAAAAGTCATTTCTTTTGTGCCCTCCCAAATTGCATGTCTTAATAATTATGTATGTTAAGAGATTTGACTCTTTCATAATTTGATTCCCCAATTCGACATATTATGTAATTTATTCTCATCCTTTAACTTCTTGCAGAACTATATACTTTATACTTTTCTTCATGCCTTATGTATCTAGCAGTGTTTTAGAGAGCTGAGATTTTCTTTGCGATAGGAAAGTGTCAGATAATGTACACTAATTATGTGACAGCCTGTTTGCTTTTCAAATTAACATTTGGAAATTAATGTTTAAAATAATTTATACGTTAACATTTTGTTGCTTTTGGTAGTTAGAACTTGAAAAAATATGACAAACTCCCAAACTTCAAAGCAGTATGATAGATGTGACCATGTCACATTCCTGCCTGAGACTGACACTAGTAATTCCCCAGCACACATAATGTCAAGCTTCTCTTTAAGATATACTTTATCCCACATTTCAAAGAAAAAATTCTATTTTTTACCAGGCATATGTGTGAAGAAGCAGATATCAAATATCCACATATGCCCCTTTAAATTTTTAACATTAACTTACTTTCTAATTCTTGCTTTACTAATCTGCAGCCTCTAAATATTTCATTATACTGATCCATACCAGCTAGTGTGAAATCCCTTCCTAAAGAGTATTTTGAGGAAATCATGCAGCCTTGCTAGATTCAGTGATGTCCTGTAGCACTGCCACCTCCGTTAAACTGAGAACTGATGGCTCCCTCGCTCTTATTTACTCCCACAGCTCTCTTGACAGCTTACAAACAGCTTTCCTCGTTCACCCAAGCTCAGGACCTACGTGGCTGTGCAGCCACCGATCTTCGTTCCTTCTCCCAACAGCTCCACTAACGTGTGGACTAAGCAACCTGCCCCCAAGAGCTCACAAGGATGGCTGCTCTCCTGACCCGGTGCTGAAGCAGATCCAACCCACAGGCTCTCCAGCGCCCACGAGCTCTGTCTGGTTTCCTTGGCCATATTCATCCCTGCAGAAAACAGCCTCAGGGAACCCTGGCAACGAGATGACCGCCGAAGCCCTGATGACCGCCGAAGCCCTGTGACTTCATACCCAGCCACATGCAGCTTTGCCGCTTCTGCAGCGTTGTGAAGCGCGGGTTTTTCAGTTTATGCACAGCCTTATACTGACAACTTGGGTGGCTCTGGAAAGAGCCTTTGGTTTCTTTCCTCTTCGGGTGTTCAGGCCCCCGGGTGGGGCGCCCCACCCCGTGCAGAGTTACTTACTCTGGGCTTTGTGGTGGCGGCTCTCGGTCTTCTTGGGCAGCAGCACGGCCTGGATGTTGGGCAGGACGCCGCCCTGCGCGATCGTCACCTTGCCCAGCAGCTTGTTGAGCTCCTCGTCGTTGCGGATGGCCAGCTGCAGGTGGCGCGGGATGATGCGCGTCTTCTTGTTGTCGCGCGCCGCGTTGCCCGCCAGCTCCAGGATCTCGGCCGTCAGGTACTCCAGCACCGCGGCCAGGTACACCGGCGCGCCGGCGCCCACGTGCTCCGCGTAGCTGCCCTTGCGCAGCAGGCGATGGAGTCTGCCCACTGGGAACTGTAAGCCCGCTCTAGACGAGCGAGACTTGGCCTTAGCGCGGGCCTTGCCTCCCTGCTTGCCTCGGCCAGACATGTTGAACGCGGATCTCCGGCTAAACACACGAGCGACCGTTAGAGTGGACCGAGCGTGGAGAGCGATGTGCTCTCTGATTGGCTGATACCATCTAGCCAATCAGAAAGCCTTGCTAGAAGAGCTTCATTTGCATTCACGCCACCCCCAATGTCCAATCAGTTGTTGGCTGCCCAATACGTCATAAGGGGCTGTGCCTATAAAAAAGACTCTTTCCAGTTTCAAGCACCAGTCGTTGCCTGGGGAAGAGCCGGAGAGGAAGAAGCTGTAATTCGGAGCTGCAAGTCGGAGCTGTAGCGCTGTGCACTCGCCATGCCGGAGCTGACCTCGAAGGGCACTACCATTTCCAAGAAGGGCTTCAAAAAGGCTGTCACCAAAACTCAGAAAAAGGAAGGGAAGAAGCGCAAGAGATGCCGCAAAGAGAGCTACTCGATTTACATCTATAAGGTGCTGAAGCAGGTGCACCCGGACACGGGCATCTCTTCAAAAGCCATGAGCATCATGAATTCCTTCGTCACCGATATCTTCGAGCGCATCGCGGGCGAGGCGTCCCGCCTGGCGCACTACAACAAGCGCTCGACCATCACGTCGCGGGAGATCCAGACGGCCGTGCGCCTGCTGCTGCCCGGGGAGCTGGCCAAGCACGCCGTGTCCGAGGGCACCAAGGCCGTCACCAAGTACACCAGCTCCAAGTAAACGTGCCAAGTGAAGCGTTCTTCCGTTAAACCCAAAGGCTCTTTTAAGAGCCACCCACATCTTTCGAAAAAAAGCTGTGACATGTTTAACGAGGCGTAGGCCTTATTTTGGCGGTTATCTAAGCGGCCTCCCCAAGGCGAGTGAGGCAGAAGTGGTAAGTGGTTATAGAGTATGGTCAGGTTAGCACCGAGATAAACAGCGATGTGAGCGAAGTAGGGGTTAATGTGCCCTCCACTGCCCTCAAGCTTCAGGTCTTCCCTCAGCCGGAGCTCAGGGGAGCCCACGGCCCGCCGTATAGCAAAGTCGCTCATCTAGAGCGGCCTTAGGATTCCCAGCGGGCAAGGACAACTGCTGAGCGCGTGGGCGCCGGCGCGCCGGTGTACCTGGCCGCGGTGCTGGAGTGCCTGACGGCCGAGATCCTGAAGCTGGCGGGCAACGCGGCGCGCGACAACAAGAAGACGCGCATCATCCCGCGCCGCCTGCAGCTGGCCATCCGCAAAGGCTTTTGGGAAGAACAATAGTAACCATAATGGGCCTGGAGACGTTACTCCAAGGTCGTCTCTATGTTCCGTTCTTTCAAAGGTGGGTGGTGGGAAGATTTGGGGCTCAAAGTGGTTTAGGGACAACAGTTAAAATCGATTGTCCCACATAGTTGGAAATATTAATGGTAAGTAATTGCGTACACTACAAGTTTCACTGTTGGTGCTTCGGTTGACAAGTCACTGCACATGTAACGTATCAGTGGCCTATCACGTCACATTTTAAAATATTGGTGACTGGTTCATCTAAATCAGTTTATGCACAAATAACATGCAGGTTAGTTGTCTCCTTGTCTCCCAAAGATAAACTTATAAAAAGGAATTAGTAATAAGATGAAAATACAGCCCCCCAAATTTTCCGAGCTCTGAAAATGCTGCAGATGCTTAATTAAACCAACCAATCGGTTAATGTTTGTAGGGGGAAGTAACGTCTGACTACTCTTCACAACTGCATTAAGTAGCGCAAATGGACCAAGAAATATTACCAGCCGCTGTCACCTAGTCCTACGGCCCACCCATAATGAAAACCACCAAGCGCTTACAGGCCCCTTTGGAAAGGGTGGGTGGCTCTTAGAAAAGCCTTTGGGTTATGAAGCTCATCTGGTGGCTGGGTCACGTTACTTGGAGCTGGTGTGCTTGGCGCCAGCCTCAGTGCCCTCAGACACGGCGTGCTTGGCCAGCGATCGCGGGCAGCAGCAGGCGCACGGCCGTTTGGGTCGCCGTCCAGCCCTTGTAATGCGGCAAATATGATACATCACCCAAGGTGTTGCTGATGGATGAGTTCATGATGCTCTTGGCATTTGAAGAACTACCAGCGTCCTGGAGAACTTATTTCAGCACCTCGTAAGTGTAAACAAACAACTTTCTTTGCAGCCTCGCTTTAGATTTCCCCCAATTTCTGTGTTTCAGTTACAGACATTTTGAAGCCTTTCTTGGAAACGTACTGCCCTTTGAAGTCAGCTCTGGCGTGGCGAGCATACCCCTCTGACTTGACGCCTAGCTGTCTGACATGCGTCGCGTGCGAGCGTGGTATTTATAGGCTGGGGTGTAGCGCTGCGTATGCAAATGAGGTGTTCCAGCAAGGCGCTCTGATTGGCTACAAACATCAGCCAATCAGAGAGCAAACCAGTCTCCCATTCGACTATAAATAGGTTCCACTGTTCCCAACCATAGTTCTCCCCCCACCCCCCCAGTTATAACGGTTTTTTGATTGTGTGTAGCCGAGGGAACCAGGGCGGCAAGACGCGCGCCAAGGCCAAGACGCGCTCGTCGCGGGCCGGGCTGCAGTTCCCCGTGGGCCGCGTGCACCGCCTGCTGCGCAAGGGCAACTACTCCGAGCGCGTGGGCGCCGGCGCGCCGGTGTACCTGGCCGCGGTGCTGGAGTACCTGACGGCCGAGATCCTGGAGCTGGCGGGCAACGCGGCGCGCGACAACAAGAAGACGCGCATCATCCCGCGCCACCTGCAGCTGGCCATCCGCAACGACGAGGAGCTCAACAAGCTGCTGGGCAAGGTGACGATCGCGCAGGGCGGCGTCCTGCCCAACATCCAGGCCGTGCTGCTGCCCGAGAAGGCCGAGAGCCGCCACACAAAGTCCGGGGCGAGCGATGCCCGACCAGGTGTAAACCCAGCAAGCCACCCGGACCAGATGCTCGCCCCACGCTGAAACCAAAGGCTCTTTTCAGAGCCACTCAATTTCTGAGAAAGAGCTTAGGCGTGTGACAGCTTTACAACCAGCAGTAATTGTCTCATCAGCGACAAATGAGAATTGGCTCCGACTCTTAGTTTCATAAGCAGAACTCTGAAAAAAAATTAGTTTTGGTGGCTGAGATTCCTAAAGGAGTTTGATGTATAGTTTTGAAAAAATAATTCAAGATGTTGGAGTGGAACTTCAAAGAAACAAAACTGGGCCTCCCCGGTGGCGCAGCGGGCTGAGAGCAGCGTTGTGAAGCTGTCTGCGGCCTCTGCAGTGCAGGTTCGATTCCCAGCCAGGCCAGGGAGATACCCACATGGCGCAGCAGACCCCTCCTGTCTCTCCCTCTGCTCCCCTCAGCAGTGTATTTCAGTCAGTCTGTCTGTTCTGTTCCCCACTCTGTCTCTGGTGGATCCTCTCACCCTCCCGCACACCTGGCCTGTACCCCGGTTCTTGTATAAATAAATCTTAAAAAAAAAACAACAACACGTACTTCAAAATAGATCTAGCAGTCCCTCTAGCAGGACCCTGGTGGTGGGAATGCCACTATACCTTTGAAAAAGAACAAATTTAAGACTATCGTGAGAATTTACACAATTCCTATGAAAATGAAGATCTGGAGTTGTGTTGTAGGGTTTGTATTTTAATGAGGATAGAGTGACTAAATGATTGGGTCAGAGATACACTGAGTGGCTGAAGTAGGCTGCAAATGTGCAGCTTTTGACTTAGGTCCTTGAGGAGCATGACCATAGGCCACCAGCCAGCATCTAGTAAATCAGGACTTCCATGAAGGTTGTGTGTTTTCTCAAGTGCCTTCTAACAGGGGATTTCCTTCCACGAGTTGTAGTAGCTTGGTTTCATGAAGTCTATAACCAGGACATGTTAATAAACCAAAAGATAAAATGTACCTATACTACTTTATGTGAACAACTAAGAATAGATTTACTTCTTAGTGTGTAGGGTACACAACAAGTCTAATAACATTTTGCTGGTATGATGCCAATATCAGTATTAAAGTCAGTGATGTAATAAAGCAGCTTTCATCATTATTCAGGAATATTAGGCACTGAATTTTTCAAGAGGTCTAACTACTAAAAGTGAGGCAAAATGTTTGTTGGACCTTTATGTATGTGAGTAAACGCCCACAAAAACAACCAAAAAATGCAAATCCGAAATTGTGCTACAAAAATGAAGTCATCGAGATTCCCCAAATGCAATGCAATACAAAGCAGAAATCTGCACATTTGTAACAAGCTAGGAAAATTCCTTAACAAAGTTAAAAGAATTTTAACAATTCTTTCATTCATAAAATTACACTCAGACCTTTGGTGAAACATTTTAAAATTAAAAGAACATGGCTTTTAAAACCTTACATTAACATATTTAAAAATAATGATGAAATGTAAAAGCTTCAAAAATAATACACATTGCTTAAATTCAATTTAGAAAGTCTTTCCTAGAGACTCACAAAACCCCCTTATAAAATCAAGAACACAGCTTTCCCTGCTTAAGAAAGACTGATGATGATTCTCCTGGACCTGATGGAAGGGGGTTATTTATAGTGTGCAAGCAAATGAGGTTTTAAAACACCTAGATCTGATTGGACAAGCTATATTACTAGAACATATATAAAAGTAAGATGGTCAATTCAATTCTCTCCAGCACAATAAAAATAACAAACAGGTTTTGTAAGCGAACCCCAGGTTTGTAAACTTATAGAAAAACACAGCAACTTCTATTGGGTTCTATGAGCTAGTGTTACTCTAAAATCAAAACTGGACAAAGGTAGCACAGGAAAACTTGACTAATCTCAATTGCTAAAGTAAATGTAAAAGTCTTAAATAGAATAAAACCAAATCAGCTTGCTAAGGTAAAATGCATTGGGAAAATAAGAAAAGTATATGGCTAAGTTTTTGAATGTCAGCATACTTAAAGACTTAAAATGTCATCGGCACATTCATTAAACAAGGGTTGCTGGGTTTGCACATGTGATAGTATTGCTTTTGGCACAGGGGAATAGTGGCAAACTAGATCATGTCTCAAGTTTATGAAAAAGAAGTGAACAAATAAATGAACCAGATAATTTCAGAAAATGTGCTTTTAAAAAAAGGCTATTGTTGGAGAGCTTTTGGATAACTTAATTACATTCCTGGAATGTTAACCAGCTTCTAGGACGGCGCCCCATTATCCCTGCCTGCTGATATTGGCCCCCTTCGTAATCCCTTCCCAAACTGTATCAGTTTTAATCTATGTATTCAATACAATAAAGTATGGCAGAAGTAGTGGGAACATTGGACGGCCACATGCAAAAGAATGCAATTAAGTCACTCTTTTACACCATACAGAAAAATTAATTCCAGAAGCAGCTCTTTTTTTATTATTTTTTAATTTTTATTTCTATTTTTTTTTTTAAATAATAAATTTTATTTTTATATTCCCCATACAATTGCAACCCCCCCCCCATTCTGACCCCAATCCCTCCCCTCCTGCCCCCTCACCCCTCAAAAAGTGTTTCTGGTTCATAGTTTTTTGTTGATTTTGATTTTCGCTTTCTTATAGTTATTCATTTTTCTGGTCCCTTATTTAAGTTTTCTAGATTCCTGCTATGAGTGAGACCATCCGGTATTTTTCTTTTTCTTTTTGGCTTATTTCGCTGAGCATGATCCCTTCCAGTGCCATCCATGTTGCTGCAATTTGCATGTGTTTATCTTTTTTGAATGCTGAGTAATATTCCATGGTATATATGTACCACATCTTCTTAATCCAGTCATCTATTTTTGGGCATTTGGGTTGTTTCCAAAGCTTAGCTATTGTAAACAGTGCTGCTATAAACATAGGGGTGCAGGTGTTCTTTGGAATTGATGTTTCTGTGTCCTTTGGGTAAATACCTAGGAGTGGAATTGCTGGATCCTATGGAAGCTCTATGTTTAGTAGGTCCAGAAATCTCCACACAGCTCTCCATAGTGGTTGGACCAGTTTGCACTCCCACCAACAGTGCAGAAGAGTTCCTTTGTCTCCACACCCTCGCCAACACTTGTTGTTGCTAGTTTTTTTAATATGTGCCATTCTCACTGGTATAAGATGGTATCTCATGGTAGTTTTGATTTGCATTTCCCTGATGACAAGTGATGTTGAACATTTTTTCATATGCCTGTTGGCCATTTGCATTTCCTCTTCAGAGAAGTTTCTTTTTAGCTCTTCTGCCCATTTTTTGACTGGATTATTTTCTTTGTTGTTGCTGAGTCTCATCAGCTCTTTGCAGATTTTTGTGATCAGTCCTTTATCGTTAGTGTTGTGTGCAAAAATGTTCTCCCAGTTGGTGGGGTTTCTCTTTGTTTTTGTTATTGTCTCTTTTGCTGTACAGAAGCTCTTTAATTTGATGTAGTTCCAGCTGTTTATCTTTGCCTTCACTATCACTGATTTGGGTCATGTGTCTGTAAAGATGTCTTTGATGTGCAAATCACGTAGTGTTTCACCTATATTTCCTTCTATGTATTTTATGGTTTCAGGTCTTATGTCTAGTTCTTTAATCCATTTTGAGGTGATTTTTGTGTATGGTGTGAGGTAGTGGTCAAGCTTCATTCTTTTGCATGTAGCGACCCAGTTTTCCCAGCACCATTTATTGAACAAACTTTCTTTGCTCCAATGCATAGTCTTTGCTCCTTTGTCAAAGATTAGTTGACCATAAATCTGTGGGTTTATTTCTGGATTTTCTATTCGATTCCATTGGTCTGTGTGTCTGTTCTTGTTCCAATACCATGCAGTTTTGATGATTATGGCTTTGTAGTATAGTTTGAAGTCTGGGAGTGTGATGCCTCCATTCCCTTCTTTTTTTTTCAGGAGAGCTTTGGCTATTCGGGGTTTTTGGTGATTCCATATGAATTTCATCAATAATTGTTCTATTTCTTTGAAGAATGACATTGAAATTTTGATTGGAATAGCATTGAATCGGTATATTACTTTTGGTAGGATGGCCATTTTAATAATGTTTATTCTTCCAATCCATGAGCAGGGGATGTCTTTCCATTTCTTTGTGTCTTCTTCTATTTCTTTTAACAGTGTTTTATAGTTTTCTTTGTATAGGTCCTTTACCTCTTTTGTTATATTTATTCCCAAATATTTGATTTTTTTTGTTTCAATAATAAAAGGGATGGTTTTTTTGATTTCTTTCTTCTTCAGATTTATTGTTTGTTTATAGGAAGGCTACTGACTTTTGCGTGTTGATTTTGTATCCTGCCACTTTACTGAACTGATTGATGAGTTGAATTAGTTTTTCTGTGGAGTTTTTGGGGTTCTCTATGTGTATTATCATATCATCTGCAAATAGTGATAGTTTGACTTCCAGAAGCAGCTCTTAAAGTGTGCAAATATACAAAGCACTGTGGGACCTGCTGGTCATCAGACCAGGTGAAATGTCCCCTGAGAGGCAGTTGCAAAGAATAGGTCTGTAAATAAGTCTGCTGTCTGTGCAATGCCCCGAAGGTGGTAGCGTAACAGGAATTGTCTTTCCCATCGTTACTGTCCCTTGTGGGACCCAGGAATGCAAACTACTCTGGCCACCAGATAGCGTCATCAAGAAATAACTACAAAACCCAAGCAAGGCACCAAAAGAAAATCCAGAGCACTGGATGTATGCAACATCTACGCTCTGAGAGATACCAGGGTTGCGTGGATAGCAGAGGGGAAGTACATGCCGATGAAAAATAAATTTAAAAATATGCTGCAAACCAACTTTAGCAAGACAGAGTGAGACTGAGAAAATAGCACCTACTAGTGCCTTTTCCCCCAATATTATTCCAACAGACCCCTGTCTCTTTTTTCAATACTTTAATTTAGCAAGTGAATCCCTTTCACATAAAGTCTGGGTGCTTTTCAAATAGCTATATGTACCTGGGCCCTGAAGTAAATACATTCCTTTTAAGACTAGTTTCTCAATTTGCTATAGCCCTTTGGGTCTATGAACCCATCTGTAAACTTCTCTGTAGCTA